CAGGGTGACAATGGCTCATCCTTTCGATGCGCCCGGACCTAAGGTCATCATCAGAGATGAGTGGACATCGCGGGAGAGCTCTAGGGCGGCCCTGGAACAAGGACGATGGACTGGAACGACTGAGTTCCGACTACGTGTTCCTGATGAAGATCCGTCTCCACCGGACGACCCAGTCGTGCGAGCTGCTGCTGTTCGCGAAGATGAACTCGATGCTGAGGAACGTGAAGAAGCAGTACAGGAAGCAGAGGGGACGGACATCGAGGGCGCAGCAGTGATCGATCCACCGAGGCGAACCAACTTCGACTTCCGCAGGGTCCTGGTCCGCCTGCCGCAATTGGCGAGATCTGATGAGGAACAGGCCAAGCGGTTGATCCTGGGGCTGCACGAACGGTTCTGGCATGCCAACGCCAGTGATCTGAAATCCTTGCTCAGCCGCGCTGGCATGCCGAGCGAGGTCCTGAAGCTGGTCTCAGAGACAGTGTCAGGATGCGCCATATGTCGACGATACAGCAAGCTGAAGAGCAAGCCTGTCGTGAAGGCCAACCATCCTGGAGCCTTCAACCTGGAGGTGCAGGCTGACTACTTCCAGCTCTGGGAACAATGGTTCCTCATCCTCGTCGATGTGGCGACGAGGTACAAGGTCATCACGAAGGTCTCTGGCCGAGACCTACCTACGGCTCTGCGGACCATCCTCCAGAACTGGATTCGCTTCTTTGGTCCGATGAGAAAGCTGGTGTCGGACCAGGAATCATGCCTCATGTCGCATGAAGCCGCTGCTGAGTTTGAGAGGTTCAATATCGATCGAGCACCAGCAGGAACCACTCGCGGACGAGCACAAGGTGAACACACGACCACTGGCGTAGTAGAGAAGCACACCGACCTGTCTAAGATCTGCATGTTGAAGCTCAGAGCTGAATGCGAACGCCAAGGCCTGGACATCGACTTGGGCGACATTGCTGCCGAAGCAAGTTTCGCTCAGAACGCGACGATCAACATCGGCGGCTACTCGCCCCACATGATGGTCATGGGCACTCTTCCAATGCCATACTACGACATGGACGCTCCGGGCATCCAGGCGTTCACGGGTGCAGATCAGGTTAATCCCACGGTCTATGAGCGAGCCCTACGTCTTCGGCAACTTGCGTTGACAGCCTCAGCACAATCAATAGCGGAGGACCGCATTGCCCGTGCCGCACACACCAGACCGCAGCGACTTCCTACTGAGGACATGAAGCCGGGAGTCACTGAGATTGAATTCCATCGTGAAGATGCAGACGGTCTTGGATGGCGCGGCCCAGGCCTGTTGCTCAAGTTGCAGGACAACGGTTCGGCCATCGTGGAGTACCAGGGCAGGCCTTATCTGATTCCCATGAGAAGTCTCCGAATCTTCCGAGGCTCCTACTACGCCAACAACCACAGCTCAGAGGACAACCGCCGCGAGAACGAGCTCGAATCTTGGCTCGCCCTGAGGCGACTCATGGATAGCGTCGAGGCATGTGTCCCCTACCGGATCGACACCTACGGTCATGTCAAGAATAACAAAGGCAAGTGGTCCACTCTGCCACTCTCGATGTCGGAATCGCAACGAACTAAGATCCTCGAGGACATCGTTCTGGCCGCACGGTTTCTGACGAACAAACCGTGCCATGGCATACGAGTGGGCACCGGACTGCGGAAGCTCATAACACTGGCAGGCACCACTGGCACCCTGGTGGCGTGGAAGCGCAATACTGTCCGGATGTCTATCGTGGACAACATCAGTGGCAACGACATCTCCACGACTTCACTTCGGATCAGTGGCAAAGAGTCCATGTGCTACCTCTACTTCTACAGCTACGATCCATCCTTGGAAGTTCCAACATCCACCTGGGCGCCACGTGGACTCCCCATGGAGGAATCTCCCATCGTGCCTACCGAACCTCAAGCACCACAACATGATCGCGATGACGAAGGCCAGGACATGGACGTCACACCAGAACCCAGCAAACGACCAGGCCCAGATTCTCGGACTGTGGTATTGGGGCCTGAATCCAAGAAGCAACGAACTTCCTTCCTGGAGTCAAGGTCCACCTATATGCAGGACACCTTCCTCCACATGCACCGCAGACAGCACCTCATCCACTCCGAACACTCCGGTGACACTTCCGACGAAGGCGGCGAGGTTCCACCACATGGCCCGACCACCTTCGATGGCATCTTTCATATGAAGTCGAAGGGATGGTATGCTGATCTGAGTGTGGGGAACATCTTCCGGGTGGACACGGCGACAAACAACGTTGAAGAACACCAGGTGGCGGACATCTGGCCACAGGTGGAAGAAGCCGACTATAAAGAGGTCGGACAGTTCGTCGCCGAGAACGCCTTCCGCGCCGAGCTGCGCGACAACCTGGGTTCAGACTGTGCGGTCATCGACGCGATCTGGGTCAGGAAATGGAAGAAGGCCCCTACGGGAAGAATGGTGAAAAGCCGTTTGTGTGTGCGAGGATGCCATGATCCGTGGAAGCATGAGCTCAGCAGCAGATCGTCTACAGCGACCAGACTATCCCAACGACTCATCTTGGTATCAGCCACGAACAGCAAGCACAAGTCGTTGGAAAGCTGGGACATTGCCGGGGCATTCCTCAAGGGCCTCACCTACAAGGAGCTGCGGAAGACACTGAAAGAACTTGGTGTCCAATGCGTTGAACGCATGATAGCGATCGTTCCACCACGGAATGTTTGGAGACATCTCAAGAAACTCAGTGCCAAATTCAACATACGCGAGGAAGATATCCACAAGTATGTTCTCCTGTGCCTGAAGCCCGTCTATGGTCTGTCGGAGGCACCCCTGGCCTGGCAGCTCTACTTGCACAAATACTTGAAACAGCTTGGAGGCCAGCAGTCACACTTCGACGAGTGCTACTGGTACTGGCCCAGTCCTCGCCACGGACAATGGCCATCGTCTAGTGTGTCGACACATGTGGACGACCTCGCGGTTGAAGGCGTGATCAAGTGGCTGGACGAGATGTTCCAAAAGATGCTGGACAAGTTCGGAAAGCTGAGCAGGCAAACTCTGCCTTTCATGCACTGTGGATGCCGATACTCGGCCATCGCGGACGGCATCATGGTGGACCAGCGGGAGTACGTCAGCATGCTTAAGCCCATTGCGGTGAAGAAGGACGACAAGGACGACCGCGACCTTTCGGCGGCCGAGCTGACGACCCTCCGATCAGCCATTGGCGCGCTGATGTGGACTGGCATCACCCGTCCTGACTTACTGGCAGATCTGTCGATGCTGCAAGGCGTCATGAATCGTGCTAAAGTCAAACACCTGAGGGATGCCAACGATCTGACGACACGCGCTCAACGTGATCAGGAAGCAGCCATCTACTACAGGTCACTTCAATCTTCCAGCTACCGCATTGTGTGCATCCACGATGCCAGTGCAGCTTCCTCGACCAAGAACTACGCACAAGAGGGTGTGATCGTGGTCTTGATGGAAGACAGGCTGGACGTGCAGGCCAACCACGTTGTGGCCACCGACGAGTTCGCAGAGTACAACTTGTCAGGCAAGGCCCAGCTTCTGCACATGCAGTCGAACAAGGCCAAGCGTGTCAGTTATTCCACCTCGCATGGCGAAACTCTCGCGGCAATCAATGGTTTGGAATGTGCTACCTTAGTGAGCACCCGTCTGGCGGAGATCACCTACGCCGAGAGCAAGCCTACTCTGAACCAGCTACTTGCGATCCAAGAACGCGGGTGCAAACACTTCCCAGTCGATGCCATGACCGACGCGAGAGACTTTTGGGAACTGTCTACTGGACAGAAGAGCCTTCCTCAAGACAAGTCACAGAGGCTCTACATCCTCGCCCATCGCGAAGCTCGAGCAAGCGGACGCATACGATGGGTCATTCTCACACCCACCGAGTGCATGACTGCTGATGCACTCACAAAGCCGATGCAGTCTGACTGTCTCATGCGTTGGCTCACCACGGGATGCGTTAAATTCTGGAATGCAGGGCATCCGCTAGAGCTTAAGCGACTGCCACCGTCCGCTACCTTCACAGAAGACGACCTGATCGAGGGCGACAAGGTCCTGGACAAGAAGCAAGCATGGTTTGTTGGGATTCCATTTCTTCTGGGATCCAACAAGCTGTTTTGCATGGCGGTTGCGTTGTCAACTCTGCCAACCGCGACTGCGCAGCCAAACTTTCCCTCGACTATGGGAATCACTTTGGAACCGCACGATCTTCTGCTGATCATGCTGGCGGCAATGCTTTCGATCACCTCTGCCGCCTTCGCTGTTTGCTGTGACAGAACACTGTTCAGGGCCACGACTACTCCAACAACGACCTCTACGACTCCGTCTTCGCCACCTACTACCAGAACGAGCTCTACGACCTCGGCCCCTTCGGTACCTACTTCGTCAACTGAACCTCCATCCTTCGCTGGACGACCGACTGATGTTCCGGAGAACTTTTCCGTGTACATTCGTCCAAAGGGCCATTCGTACCACACTCCGCAATGCATATATGGCCAAGGCGGAAAGAAGCTTTTGCCGTGCGGATTTTGTAACCCACAACGGCGGGGCTCGTAACAGGCAAAGTCCAAAGCGGAGTCAAATTGTTACCGCTCACTTGTACAGGGACATGCCATTTCATATGTTGCACAGACGCAGATGCTGCAGCCGGCTTGAGCCTCACAAAAGAGACCAGATTCAATTTTTGCGTATGCACAAAGCACAGGCGCACGCACACACACACACACACACACACACACACACACACACACACATACGTACATACATACATGCTCATTGGCATCCTTACATACCAACCAACACACATACATCCATGCATGCATACATCCGTGCATACTCTACTGTGGTCTAAGCTGACCTACCCTATCTATCTGGCTCTCCATCTACCTATCCGTTTGCAACTGGTTGCCTTTTGCAAGCTAGTTCACAAGATTCTATGCCGGCGGCACCCGCAACCCTCAACCTCAGACCGCCGACTCAGGCGACCGCAATCTTGGTCCGTGGCCTTGAGGAGACTTCCTGGCAGGTGCGGTTTCGGGCGGGGGATGGGAATGTCGACTCAGGAGACTTGGATGGGTTGTGCTTCAGAGTCTGAATCTTTAGATGGTGGTGCACGAGTGTTAATGGCGTTCAATACCTTTTCGTTCATGTGAATGTCGACAT